ACAAATTCTTGGCCCTTTTTCGACTTTTCTCATCGATGCACGGGTAGCCTTCGCTCATTTTCAAGTTAGAATACCGTGCCTTTTCCTGCTCCTGTTTTCACCCTGTCATTTAAATGGAATCCTGTGATTACTTCCTGCAATTACTGTGAGACGAAGCACATCCCGACTTTTCATGCATGACAAGCGGCTTGGCCCCCCTCTGAACTCCGCCCCTCCGCTTCTTGGAAACGCTTGTCGCTCTGGTTCACAAATTGCCGTTTCGCCCCATTTCGAGCTTCTTTGTGCCCGGTTTTTCAAGCGTCTGCACTTTGGCCACTATAAGCCAGGGGATGTATAAGGGATTTTTTGTAGCTACCGTACTCTATTAGTGGGCGGGGCCATGGCTTTTCAACTTATATTGCGACGTAGTAGGGCATTTCTAGAGCAAAAACATCCGCGTAATCACTTACCACGGTATGCGCCATGTATCCAACTTTCGCTCAGAAGTGCTGTCCGATAGGATAAGGCAACTACTTGGAAGGGTGAGAAACTGGAGAAAGGGAAGCTCATATCCGAATTAAGTCTCCTTGAAAGCCCCCGAAGCTCCAGAAGGACGCAAAACTCGATCCACAGAGTGGTTCAGCCCTACGACCATCCCTGTAGTATGGGCAACCCTCGCGTAGCCGTCACGCTTGAGTGCCATCATGGAAACCAAGCGGCTAGTGTCCGAGTGAAAGAGATCGTCGGGCTTTTTCCCGAATGTCAGTGGTCCTGCAATTCAGTGAATTTCCATGGATAACGGAGCAGTTCTTCAGTGCACAGCCTTGATCTGGGCCAATCAAAGTATATATGTCATATAGCACCATCAAAATCTGACCATCCAATCGTTTAAACAGGTACATGAAACGAGTAACTATGGCATTGACAGGGATACATAAAAAGTTCGATTAAACAACGATGACAACCATAACCTGCCATGCCCATTGATCATTCACGTTTTTATGTTGAACAGTGTTTGATACATAAACATACTCTGACACACTCCTTTCCAGTCATTTCGATTTATCTTTGTTTATTTTTCCTGGAATTGATTTTTCATTTGTATTCAACTTCTTTCTCGCCTTTCTAGTTTATGCTCCTGATGAGACCAAGCTGATGGTGGGCTTACTGATGTACTTTCTTCTGATATTCCGGAAAGCCGTATTACTATAAACCCTAGCCCCAAGAGATTCTCCTGTTCTCTAGGGCTGTAAAATCGACCTGATTACCAGGGGTAATGATGAACTCTCGTGGCGCAATCTCTAAAAGCACCACCCTTTACCTCGACGCTTTGTATTTATTACTTTCCAGTTCAGCCTTGTCTGTCATTCGTTCAGAATCAATAGATTCTTAAAGTAAAGGGCGTAGTCTTTGAAGTCAATCAATTCCTTTTTTGGGATGCGCCGTCGCACTTGACTTCCATTCAGAGTCGTAGCGGCGTTTTGAATGGGTATGTGGCCAAGCTATGTTCAAATCAGTGCTTTTATCCTCTCAGACAGGTTTGGTACCTATTAGTCGACCTCGAAGGGATGAAAGGTTCGATTGGCCCAGAAGGATATCGATCCCGGATTCGATCCTCGGTTCATTGGTGATAGTGCGCCATTTACCACTACGCCATGTCTGCCCCAATAGGTTCAATGCTACCCCCGAACCAATTGGAATGCCTAGTTCACACTGATATGAATAGAAATTGAAATATGTTTGGCATCTGGAAGGGGTTGATAAGAACGTGTCTATTTGCCTATAGAAAAAACCGCTTCTAAGATGATTACTGACTGCCTCATGATTCCCGCTCATGATTCCCGCTTTCCCGCGTGATTGCATGGGTTCAACCTGCCTTACCCCGGAACATCCCAGCACGTCTGGGTACACAGTGTGTTACGGGGTTGCTAACGCTCTCTGCGCTACCAACATGGTTTACAGCCCCAAAGTACCGTAGCCATGTTGGAACTATTTCCCACATCTAGCGCTTTATTCTCGGCTTCTTAGCAGTGGAAAACATGGGAATGGGATCGAATTTCACCCGACATCCTGTGTCTGCGCTTAACGGCACACCTCTCAAGTTTGCCGCTGCCCTTAATTCTTTGCACTTTCATTTGCGGGAGCAAAAAAACGTATTTCCAAGTGCCTAAGTGCATGGTTAGAGTGGGAATGCTGAATGTGTTCTGTCGTGAATATCAATTATTTCATCTCTCACAATTGCTCTTTTCCGGCATACCACCCCATCGGCCCTAACGGATTAGACTGATTAGATAAGCGGCTACTGTCGACTCAGCCACGGTACCAGCAGCCTAGTCTGGGGCGAACGATTGGATGACCTTTGGACTTACTTCTGCCAATAAATATTCTCCTGATGACATAATGTTCCCATAAGAAATCTTTCGTGGGAAAATACCTCATCCTTTGGCTACTATCAAAAAGAAAGGTAGCACAGTACGGACCTCTTGGTCCCCTCCTGCACGTCAATCTATTGCCTCTCCAATTGTAAGATGCTTCTGAATTTGTCAAGTTTTTTTGTTGATTTGTCATTCACACCACGAAATCGGGCCGTAAATTAAATATAGCTACCGTATCTGTCCCGCCATTGTTTCTTACTTCTTACAGGTTTCCTACAACGATCATAACCTCGTTCCACAACAGGTGACAATGAGGGATATATGGGATGAGACTTTTTGGTTACCAGAGAATGTTTCATGGTCAGACATGAAAGATAATGATAAGGTGCATTATCCACATGTCGCGGACCTCCAATATACCATAATCCTGGGTTTCGGCTTGCTGGTAGGTTTTCCCTTAATTCACATTTTTTAGCAGTTACTTTATTATTTACTTGTACTTTCTAGGTTTTGCGGTTGTTATTGGAATCATTTGTGTTTCTGCCAATTGGTTGGCTGGGGGGATGGATTCGCGCACCGCTGCTACCTCAGATATGGTCACATTTAACAGGTATGGCTTATTTTACTAGTTGTTATATGGACAAGAAGAACGTAGCAGTGAGCAGCAATGAAAGAATGGTTTGGAATGCTTTCGATCCAGTGAGGTTCTTTATGCTTGAAGACGTCTAGGCCAAAGTGGGCGTGGCGTGATGCGCGCGGCCCGCCCCTTTGTACACTAAGGCATAGTATTTGCCGTGAAGCGTGTGCAAGAGATATGTGTATTGATCGAGTCTCTCCCTCTTTTCAATATCTCTAAACAGGCAGTAATTTGAGTAATCACAGAGATTTCGATTGCAGGTGGATTTGCTGGAAAGAGTAAATTCAAGCGGGTTGCTGAATGTGGGTGGCGACTATGCTTCTATGTATGTGCATGGACAGCTGGGTGAGAATTACCGCTTAATACTTTATTGTACGTTGCACTTCAGTCAATGAACTTTCATTTTCAGCTTGCTTATACTGCTCGGAGAACCGCAACTTAAAGATGTATCCGAATGTTGGCGTGGATGGCCTCATCACAACGTTTCAACGGCAATCTGGTGGTACTACATCATGGAGGCCTCTTTTTACTGGGCCCTTTTCATAGGGTACCTTAACTGTTATTAATACGTTTTATAGAAATCTGATTGTTTTGAACATACGAATAATTTCAGGACTTTATGTTTCGATATTCGCCGAGCTGATTTCCTTCAGATGATGGTTCACCACGCTATTACTATATTGTTACTTTACCTAAGTTGGACGATGAATATGGTCCGCGTAGGGACACTGGTACTATTTGTACATGATGCGGCCGATATTTTCATGTGAGTTTCATTTCCCTAGTTCAGTGTCACCTAAACATGCAAACTGGCACAAAAAAACATACGCGCCAACCCCACCCATTTTGCACGACTTTTTGGCCACGGCTCCGCCCATTTTGCACAACTTTTTCGCTATCTTTTGTGGCCCATATGAAAGTAAGATTCGATCATAATTCCAAGAAGAGACATGTTTGACATATCGTAAAAAATGTGAACATAGTATCGGAGATTTCCGTGTCCTGTTTGTGCCTGGTCTTTTGTAGTCATGCTTTTACTTGTAAGGCACTCCGACTGTATTCCAGTGAGGTGGCAAAAATCATTCGTTACGCCCATTGGGATATGGCTTTGAATATCATTTTTGTCATTTTCTTCGTCGTCTGGATAGCAACCCGTCTGATCTATTACCCATTCTGGATTATACGATCAATATGGTTCGATGCCCCGGAACTAATCCAGGTGAGATTTTTTTTGTTGACGAACTGGTCCCCACTTGTAATTTTACCTCCCAGTTTTTGAAGATTCCCACTCAATTCAGGCTTCATATCGGTGGACGAATATATGGCAAAGGCCACTGGTCCCTCGTATACTCATGGTGATGCTGACCTCGCTTCTCGTGCTCCACATCTTTTGGACATACGTCATTTTAAAAGTAAGATTACTTTTTTCACGTGTCACATTCCTTAAGCACAGACGGTTGGCCTTTCGCTTGGGCGTTTTCTTGCGCTAAACCGGTATTACAAGTAAACTAAACATCAAAGCACAATTTGCGACCATGCGAATGCGAACTAGTTGAAATGGTTTGTCAATGAAGGGAATTCGCATTGACACAGTGCTTGGCATATCTGTCAATTTTTATAATATATTTTAATTAAGGTGGCATATAAATCCATCAGAGGAGGAGAATTGGATGATGTTAGAGAGGAAAGCGAATCTGAAGAAGAATCTCCAACCAAGTCTAAAGACGAGTAATATGCTGAGCCGAAGCACCTCATGCTCACCGATGTCTGGTCCCCTATTAGACCTCACTCCTAGGCAGGTCGTGAATCTCCAAGCTCTCCCATTCTTTTCGGATCTGTCAGAGATTCGCTTCGGCATATCCCACTCCTTGGAGGGCACGTGTGTGGGGCAGATTATCGAAATGTATTTTCTAACTAGGACCTCCAAATATTTTTAAAAGTTTTCTCCCCTATACTTTGGAAAACGACTACTCGTAGTCCACCACTGGTTTCAAATCAATTCTTTTTTTTTCCCAGTATCAAGACCACATCAATATCGGGTGTGTCAACTTCTTAGGGCGTACATATCGATGATTGAATAGATGTCAACTTTAGTACAGTCACAGTCACAGACCGAGTTGCGCTCATGTAACAAATGGGTGTGCGGTCGCGAAGCGCTACCTCGCTGAGCTAGCTCATTCAATACCTAGCTCTAGCTTAGTTCAATCGGTTTATGACAGTGTCTGTATGATTTTGAAATGTCTACATCACTACTTTGTGATTTCAAGTGGTATTACCTACAACATTCTCAACTTAAACACCTCACTTTGCACAATAACGCACAATTCGTTGTTAAAACGGGTTCCTGAGAATCCTTGTTTGTTGTTGTTTACTTTTTTCATTATTCGAATAACCTTTCTTCTATGTTGCTCACTAGACGAACAATTTGCATAAGATTTCATAATATTATTCTATTTTGATGTTTGTACAGTACTGCCAAAACTTGCAATTCCTTCTTGCCCAAGTATTCCATAGTGATACAAGTGATGATTGAACAAATATTTATAATAAAATTTTGTTATAGTAATCTTTGTTAATGAACAGAACAAACAACAATTAACAACTATGTTAACAAACCTAGAAATTTTGAAGTTTACTTCTTAGGAGTCCTAACTGGTATATCCACTGACGTCACGGTTTTTCGTGAAAGTCGTATTTGACCCGTTGTAGCGTCACGTCCCAACCACTGCACCGTTGTCTTCTGACCGACCTTAGAGCACAACACGATAAACAAAGAAATCGATTGTTAGAAGAGAAAGTTTAGAGAAACAGTAAGGGAAGCGCGCGTTCGCGTAGCGGCAGTGCATTAAAAGTTACGTCATAGCGCGACCGCGACGCACCACTCCACTTCTGCTAGGCAGTTATTGGCCTGTCACGTGCCTCCCTCTTAACGAGCTCCACTTCTTTAAACGCATGCTACATGATTGCCAAATGCTTTTCAAACAGTTAAATAACTGTACCATCAATTTATTCGAATTAATCACTCTGAATACCTTCCCATTAGACAAATATAGATCGCCATTACACATCGGAAGACGGTGAAACCGAAACCTAGAAAATGAGTGTACCTGAAGCCCGCTAGCGGATGAGTGACGAATAGGTAGAGCGTGTAGTTGAGAATTGGGCACGAATACAGGCCGACCTACACCGGCTAATTGTAGTAGAGCACCTCGTTCCTGTAGCTCAACTACTTCAGCCGGTACCATCTGACCAAAGGCGAACATTGGCTCGTCAGTCTCGGAAAGTAACCTTGAAATGATAACCTTTCATAATGTAAAATACTGAGTGATCAAACATTACTTCGCAATGAGTGTTTTGGCATCTTCGAGACGTTGCTTGTTTGGAGCAAATAAGCTGATATGAGCATCGTCTTCATGAGAGATCTTGAAATAAAGAAATCCAAATAAATAATGGTTATTTATACCAGTTTTTACCTTGACACCGGTCTCCGCTTCAACGGTCTTTGCATGCATACCACCAGAACGGAACAACGTCTGTCTTTTGTATGCATCTAACCGCATAGATTCAAGTACTGGTACTGAAGGTTTGAATTCTTCTCTGAAACGTTACAGCTTCTTGTTAATGGCATCAAGTCAAAGCAAAACTTCCTGAATCAGGATGCCTATTGAAAAATCTAGGCCGCACAGAGTCTGTTCATAGTGAGTCCTTTATTGGCGGGTTAGTCAAAACCACCAATCGCAAGCAGCCTTCACACCATAGGGCCTAGTCAATATTGTCAGGTATGTTGACCAAAGAATCATTGCTTACCGTGGTTTATCACGAATTACTGCCATCTTCTGAAGTACATGATCGATTCCTCCTTTAGCGCTCACCAAAGCTTCAGTGAGTTGTTCCCGGGTTAAACCGGGGACCTTGACATCTAATTGCATTGCAGTGAATCCTCGTGATGAACCTCAAAGCGTCCATATAAATCTGTCGTCTATGAAGGGGACGTGTAAGTCCGCTTACCAGCAATTTTGAAGTCCATATCCCCTGCATAGTCTTCAATACCCAAGATATCAGTCAGTACTTTGTGAGGTTTTTCATTTCTGAAGAAGGGCAGGCAATAAATATCTGCTGACTGATAGACAGAAACCGGGAAACCCACTCCTTATCGGTGATTAGCCCTACAGCTACTCCAGCAACTGACGATGTTATAGGTACTCCCGCATCTAGCAATGCAAGACTCCCACCGCAAACAGATGCCATAGAGGAAGATCCGTTAGATTCCAATACCTGAACAAAACAACAAGTTTACTGGTTGAATCGATTCTGTAATAGTCAGTAATATGAAATTATCCAGGTTTGAGGGGGTGACTGAAAGATGAGTAAGAGAAAGTTTAAACCACCATCAGGCTGCACTGCAACTTCCGGGCAGAGCTGACCAGTAGGCACAGAAAAGGTAGGCCTTCCTTAAACTCTACAACTCAACTGGTAAGGAGTACTTTGTGTCTCAGCAATCTACCGCAGCAGGCTCAGTCAGAAAGCTCAGTTACTACAAACAGACCGAGTTTTCCCTCCCTTGAGTTAGCGCCAACACCATTAACAAGTTCATAGCGCCAACACCATCATACACGCTTGCAGTTCGTAATCATCTAGATTGTAGTAGAAAAAGTTTTAGAAAAGAAAAACACAAAGAAAAATAAAGGAAAAGAAAAAAAAGAAAAAAATTCAGGCAAACACAGCATAACCTGCCTGGCAAGCAAGACGTATACTGTATGGGAATTCCTTAGGGACTACATGTTTGAGCGCTTTCTCAGCTAGAGCTCCATGCCCCAACTCTCTTCTGTTGGACCCTCGGGAAGTCTGAATTCGAATTCAAGAGAATCATAAAAGAGAACAAAATTCGTCCAGCTGGAATCAATCTCGCTTAGACCGACTGCTAAATTCTACAGGACTTACCGCAATCTCATTAGTTGCATAACTGGGAAACTCGTAATGGAGCATGAACATTTTCTTCCGCTGCCCACCAAGAATCTGTGATATTGAATCCGAATGGAATGCAGCTGCTGGGCTGTCAAAGGTAACCGTAGACATCACCTGAATCAAAGGTGTGCCAGATCGTTCACAATACGAATGGCAGTATAATTAGATATTGGGACCGAGCTTTCTACCCATAGGTTGCTTCACCAGCAGTACGACATGAATTCTAAACAACTTAATAATAAAGATGTCAGTTGAGGGCAGCGAAAGCAGTGGTTACGCAGGGCTCAGTACAGCACACAAGATCACGCGCTCCTTATTGGTGGATGACCGTGTAGCCCGCGCGTAGCTCGACTACCGACCAATAGAAAGAAAGCAGCAAAATCTGGGTAAAAATTTGAAATGACGCTACTATGGCCACTGCCTTTGGGTTGGCTTCTAACTAGATCTGCGGTAATTAGAAAACCTCCATGAGGCATTCTGTTCATGCGCTTTCACTCGTAAGCTGAAAACGAATTATTCCGAGATACTCACCTGGGTTTGACCCCTTTGAAACAATGATGAGCCATGTAACCGCTTGTATAAGTCAACGGTAATAGTTATAGGTCGTACATCGGTCAGATTACGACCATCACATCGCATATTGTTTTCGAGTATCAACACGCTGAAATCGATCGAGTGGTCCCCTTGAAATCAGTAAATACTCTATCTGAAAAACCTACCGTAAAGCTTTTTTAGTGATATCACGATAAATAGCTTGAATCAATGATGGATCTTCGTCGCTGAGAGAGTTTACCAGATCTTTTCCAACTTCCTGCAACAAAAATAAGTCTATATACTTGACGCATAATAATGAATAGAAGACGGGAAAGACAGACGGAGATAGCTTCGTCACGTGAGATTTTGTCGTGTGATGGATCTGTTAGAATGTAGTATAAACGTTCCTCACACAGTTCCCGCACCTCATGCTCAAGATCAGGTGGAAAAGTGGAACAGGAGAACTGAAAACAACTACTATACGTGAAAAGTAAAAAAAAATGTTAAAACAAAAAAAAAAGGACACCATTCAAATACTAACCTCGGCTTTTTCTTTGCCAGCGGCAGATTGGAGATCATTCATAGCAGATAGGACCTTATCAATGGCACCCAAACCTTCATCCATAGCAGTTTCCAATTGTTCAGCAGGTATTTCCTATACAACAAAAATACAGAATGCGAATAGTTAAAGGATTAAGTACAAAAGCCAATCATTTAGGTTTACTCACATTTCCATCCATTTCAATCATTACCGTCCTTCGCTCACCACAACCTGCTATCAGCAAATCCATAGATGAACCCTTCATTGCTGACCGGCTTGGATTGAGGACAAGCTGAATTTTTGATAAAAACAAGGAGCCTTAAAGATGAATGTATTTTAGGGTGACTCTATATATCGGAGATGGTGTAGAGGCAAGTAAGCACTATCACAAATACATTGTCTCAGGATCGGATCCCGGACCGATTGCCGCTTTAGGTCAAGCAAGACTTTCGTCCTTCCGGGGACGGCTATTGATATTAGACTATTTGGGAATATAAAAGCCCGACCTAAACATTCGGCCACAACAATGCATTGTATGTGCCATAAACGCAAAGGTACATCATTTATTATTTTTTGTTTTAGTAGCAATCTGTTGACTCTTACAAATCATAAGATCATGAGGGTCTTCTTAAAATAGAATGATTGAGCGAGTTGCCAGTTGGAGTTATGAGAAGGAGGGTTATAAAATGAAACAAATAAATAAAATACAAAAAAACAACATAATAGACAAGTAAAATAAAGTAGTGAGTTGGATCCTGTGATGCAAGTATTGATTCACTACCTTGTCATCAATGAGGGCTACACGAACTGCAGCCACAGGACCGAGCCAGGGGACAGCTGAAAGGTGAAGCGAAGAAGAGGCAGCATTTAAACCAAGCAACACAACATCGCCATCATCGTCGACCGACAGAGGCTTCACCACTATCTTAGCGAAACTTTACTTTCAATCAAGAATTCAATAAAATAACACGGTCATTATCTATTCACCTGTGTCTCATTCACCCAGCCAGTGGGAAACAGAGGACGAAGGGAACGGTCGATGACCCGGGACGCAAGTATATCCGCATCTGTCTGACCGAGTTCTCGACGTAAGTAGTTGGTTGGGATTTTGCCTACCGCTGCAGCACTTTGTTTGAAGTCAACCAGTAATGGTACGAAGTCTTGACCTGGTTGATGGTCTCCAGATGACTTTCGATATACACAAGTGCTCAAAACCTGAATCGATAAGTGGACCGTGATATAAAAACGGGAAAGGCACAAGGGCTACTTACAGCGCTAGCACCACAAGAAGCAACCACCGATCCTGACGCAAATCTAGCCATATGCCCTAAAACGGACGAAATTTTAAAATAAAAAACAATTAAATAATAGAATAGCAAGAGACCTGTTGTTAGTACGAGTGGTTCATCGCTTCCTATTTGTATACTGACTGAATGTTTGAAGCGTTGAAACAAGTATCTGAGTATTACCACTTTATTTACAGACGTTCGAGGATTTTTCAGCAGAAATTCATAAATCAAATCTCTGAAAAAAAAACTCACAATGAACGGCGAACGCTAGAAAACAGAAGCATCGTGGACCACTACGAGCTCCAATGGGTTAACCACACGGCAAATTATAGATAGTAATTGGTGTACAAATAACACAGCTGTCGATCACAGAACTTCTTTCTATGCGCTGAAATAAGTAAAAAGCCTTTCGCATTATTGAAAATAAATGTGACATGCACTGCTTGAAAAGTTTATTCAAAACCAACCCTCACCTCAGAACTTTCCATGAACGCTCCCTCTTTGCCAGCGATATAGGCCAAGAGCAAGGCGAATGAGCGTCAAACTCTATACAGCGTCGAAAAAATCATAAGTAAGACCCACGAGTACCGTAAGAAGAGCCTGAACTACAGTATTCATAGCGGTTTGGTCAAAGATTCCTCTGGCCATAAGGTCCAAGTCGACGAAATTTGAAGTGAAATGCAGGCCCGAGTGATTATAATGGAAAACATCAACACTAAGTAGTTGTGGGTTTCAGTTGGGTTACTCCAAGGGAGCGCAACCCCTCTGGCAGAACTTGTTTCGGATCACAAATCACAGAATCAGTCTTACATTAGCTTTCACCTAAAAACCTTGCTATAAGCATAAATGATTAGCTTGTCGGGAACGGTCAGCTAAAAACTTTGCGATAGCCCAGAGTTCTGGAATATTCCACAGAAATACTACAAAAAGACGCTACCCACTTGTATACGCATAATAAAACAGTAGATTTCATGTTATCGCAATCGGTTGACTAGGTCGAGTTTCATATTCGATCCTCCTGTTTGCGGCGTTTAAGCGATGGTACAAGGTGTTCACAGAACCACTTGGAAAGTTAGAAAGGGCTTCAAAACCAAATGGTGCCAAGCAATTTTCCATGGGTTTCAGCATTAGATTAGCCTGATTCGAACTGGTAAATATGTTAGTGTTGAATATTAGTAGCCATTATATGGGTGAACCGTCAAGGAAAAGGATTCCGGATATGTTATGCGTACGCGTAGGCAGCGTCCTTACCTTAAACCTTACCCAAGGAAACTTCCAGAAAATCCCGGGATCAATCTGGGTTACAGCGGAATCGCGGCAGACACTTTGTGCACAACTTAGTAGTAATTAGTAAAATAACGAGTTCTATCTATACGTGATGATTCAATTCAGTTAACGCTAGATGCGTAGTAGACTTCTGGTCTTGACCACTGTTGTTACTAAATGATCATACTTCAAACTACTTTATTTATTCCGCACAACAATGAAGCAACAGATAACACATTAATGGTAAAATTCAAAAGATACACGTCAATGACTACACGCGACAAACGGATCTTCTGAAGGTAAATTCACAACGTACACAAAACATAAACAAAACTAATAAGGCTCTTCGAAGGTATCGCAGTTTCAACAAGTGTGATGATGGTGATGATGGACACGACCATACTGCCGTACCCAAAAATTACCGATAAATTTACACCACTAACTCGTCAAAAGGACGAGCACAAGTAGTTGTAGTATCAAAATGGATGGACAAATACAATACAGAAATGTATACTTCCATAAAAATACAGGAAGATTACCACGACATTAAAAAAATGGTCGAAAAGCGGAATGCTCCCTGATGAAAAGCTCCTAGACGCTAGCGTAACCTTGACGTTTAGCTCGAGCTCTTCCGATGAGGTAAGCGACAAGAACGATGACAACAAGTCCGGCTAGGCATGCACCAACAATAATCGGTACAATATCCGAAGTACGTGAGTCAAGCAGACATTGTTCGAAAGCTGAAAANAGCGGCAAGAGCTGAACATACCTTGATCCTTCGGGAATTCTGGAGTATCCAGAGCGGCAAAAGCAATGACACGTACGTTCTTCATCGTGATCATCGAATCATTCGAAAGAGAAAGATCGGAAGTGGAGCACTAAAAAGTTTTATAACAAGTAAAATAAAAATGAGAAGACTCGAAGAAAAAAAAAACGAATAGCCGACGCCTTCCCCGGCGGCACTTATCCAGCAAACCTTTCAATTTTCATTTACGCAACAAAAACGATCTCCTTTAAGGAAATAGAAACTCGAAGAATAAAACCGTAATTGGTTAAGTTACTGTGATATTGAGTTGGTAGGAGAGAGACCTCGCATATACTACATCTATATTACTGCTTTGTTTGTTTGTTTGTTGTCGTGACGATTTTTACCACATTTTATTTTCGTGTTGTCTTTGTGCAGATAGTAAATACATAAACAAATATTTAGAAATTAATGAAAATTAGGTTTTAAATGAGGCTAGAAGTACCCAATCAAATTAGGAAAAACGAACTCGGTTCTATGGCAAAGATTTTTCTAAATTTTGAACCAAAATGGCAAAATAACCCAGCAAATTTTTCGGGATCATACCTTGAACGCACTCTTCTCATGGCCTTGAAGATCAATTTGAGAGGCAGACTTCGTGAAGTTGTCTGAAAAAATGCGTATTACAGTACTTTTTAAACCTGAAAACGAAGATGTAATTTTAACATACAAATGGATGTTCCATTCATTCCGGCTACTGGAGCGGTGACCAAATAGTAGTCTACCAGTTCAAAGGTGCTTTTGTCACTGTGTCCGAATACGAGCTTCAAATCCCATGGTTGGGCTGAGGTGGCCGGAGTGTTGTTCCCCAACGGGAAGAAGCTGACCTAAACGCGTATATGTTTGAAATCAGGAATGACTAATTCTTCTGAGTAATCAGTACAAGAAAAAACAGTACAAAGAGACATAAATCACGTTTTGAGGCGACCCCACGTTCTCACGTAGATTTTAGAAATTTCGCAACATATTTTGTATAAAAAATGAGAGTTATACCAACTGACCTCCAGCGTTTGAGCAGTTTGATTTCCATACGAATCTACACATTTGCCACCCACAGAGAATGTAGAGTTAACAGGAACTGTATACGAAGTAGTAGTGCCATTCTGAAACAATACAAATTATCGGTTCAGAATATGCTAAAAACAGGTAGAGTTATTCGAGAAAAGGTATTTATGCATTTCCATAAAACGTATTTCACAGCCTCAGCAGCTAGTATCAGAATGAACCTAACCGAACCAAATCAAACAACCGGGTCCCTTTTTAAAAAAGTGAATTAGTTTTGTGGCACACAGCTACATTTCACGGCTGCTTAACGAAGAAATATCTGTAGCTTATGCATTAAGCACTTTAGTAATAACAAAAAGCTAAGGTAGTGTAGTGGCAAGTGACGCACTTCACACACGCATGGTCACGGGTTCGAACCCCGGACCGACATTTGCCTAGGCCAATCAAGCCTCCAACCCTCCGGGATTGATTAATTGGTACCAGGCCCATCTGGTAGGATAAAAACACAGACTCGTACATCGGCTGGCCACGCAAGCCGTTGAGGAGGCCATGTACGCATTCAAACGCGACTACGATTTCGGATGAAAGCAGAAAGTGATGGCGAATCCCCAAAAAAAGTGGATGGCAGATGCCAAAGACTCCACTTATTTTATAATAACGAAATCTTCATGCACACTGGGAAAATAGGAACACAGCCAAGCCGTGTAAAAAGCCAGAAAATTAAGAAGCTGGGGCATCAAAAAGATGGGCGATTCAGCTCCCCAAGGCTCAGCATGAGGCAGTGAGAAGGGCCAGCATAAAAATATCGAGGGAGTATAAGGAAGAACATGAAGAATGTCGGTCCCGTACATCTTTGAATCCTCCTTTGTCTTAGCTTGAACACCAGCGGCTCCAAGGATTCCAAGTAAACACGACAACTATGCAGGGTCACCCAAGGCTCTATAAGGAAGTCTACCTGGATATCCGACACCAGTCAGCAGTATGGTGAATCCCGATCGTATTTCAGAGTAAAGAATGCGCCAGGCATCAGAGATCAGGGGGAAAAAGCGTGTCACATGTTTTGACAACGATCGCTGGAGTAGGACGATCACCGGCCGAGTTGCTTGAGAGATTACATGACCGCTCGAGCGATTGATTTCACGATGAACACATGATATTTGTAAATGTTCAAAACAAGTTAATCGAGAATAAAGAGAAAATACACAACTGGTTACTATTTCCCACTGAGAAGACGAATTTATACGTTATCAGGACCTGATAACCCCTCTCCCCTACGCAGATGATGAGCTAGACGGCAGAAGATGCAAATAGAAATCGACTTCTAATATAATATTAGCCAATATTAGCCTTGCAATCAACTCGCCCTTCAAGAATGAACCCTTCATGCTTCATTAGAGGCGAATCCCAAAATATGAAAAGCATAAAATTTCTGGATACGGGCTTCGGGCGCATTTGGAAGGGTGTGGGAATGGGGTGCAACCCTGGGTTTCCGACGTCATTCCCGAACAAAAAGCACGATTCAAAGCTGCTGTACGCTCGCTAAGATATGAACGATCATAACAGAAAAAGAGTTTTGAGACAATAGGTCCGAAAACAAACTCCTTCCAAAGCGAAACTTATTATAACTTTTCTCTGAAAAGATGAAATCATACATTGGTAAATTTGACGACGACTGAAACGGAGTCGCTGTCCAGAACAATACAGGTGAGGTTTGAAGCAGGATTCATCACCGTCCAATGTTCAGATTCCGCGAAGGAGACGGCAATAAAACCTGAATGGATAAATGATGAATTGAAAACATCAATAACCTCGGCAATTCTAATGATTTCGCACCTAAAACTGCAACCAAACGAAGCATTGTCTCCTTCAGAAGTTTATTGCCTAAAAATATTTACAAGTATAACAACACGTTACAATGGGGTAATGGCAAACGAGAACAGAGGGTGACGACTGCGCGTATATGAATGACTCACATCAGCGAACGTAAACAACTCGGATGTACAGCAGGCCCGATCAATACACGACGTATTTTACATCAAATGTTAAAATGAATTTCATCGAAAACACATTAAAACTTGTATGGATTCATCGAATAGATAGTTGAACAGGCGAAATGGCGAATAAAACACAAAAAGAAGCTGTCTTGCTACGATAGAAGCCACAAAAAGGCAGTGATAAGCGTTGGGCGAGCGATAACGCCACTTTGGCAAGAAAGCGTTTCACAGTGAGCCAACTATACTCTATTATCAATGGCGATCGATAAGGTTCAAGTCGAGACTGTTCCTTGGGAACTTATCAACAATCATTATTGATGAGATATTCGCGCCAAAAGGGCAGATACAAAGTCACCAAAACCATATNTGTATGGATTCATCGAATAGATAGTTGAACAGGCGAAATGGTGAATAAAACACAAAAAGAAGCTGACTTGCTACGATAGAAGCCACAAAAAGGCAGTGATAAGCGTTGGGCGAGCGATAACGCCACTTTGGGAAGAAAGCGTTTCACAGTGAGCCAACTATACTCGATTATCAATGGCGATCGATAAGGTTCAAGACGAGTCTGTTCCTTGGGAACTTATCAACAATCATTATTGATGAGATATTCGCGCCAAAAGGGCAGATACAAAGTCACCAAAACCATATTACCGTAACCGTGCAGGAGCCCATGCAGAAAAATGACGTCAGGGAACTCGAGTGTGTATATACGTAGTAGAATCTTGCAAAATTCTTTCCATATTGAAAAGGATGACGAGGACGACGAGATGATTGGTGATTTTACAACTGAGATGGTGAGAAGTGATTGTGATCTCATTTATACAAGCAGAAAGGGATGGGGAGTATCAATGAATAGTGTCATCCGATTGCTCGGGGATATGATTCATCACAACATCATCAGACACACTGTGTAATTTCAGATGACAATGTTTCGCAAGCGATTTGCGGTAAGACCGGAAAAAAAGAGCCTCTTCAACAATGCTGTCAGAACTATGCATACTTAATTGGCGCCTTCAAAGCGGTAATCTACTGTGCAAGACGTCACGGGTCCTGCAACGATGGTCACGAGTTTCGCAATCACTGGTAATTTTTCGAACTACATGGAACCTATCATTTCAAAGTTGACATTGTTTTAACAAATTCCGCAAATAACTGAGTAGAACGAGTTTTTATTATTTCCGAATCTGACGCTGTGAACAGCGTTCCAGAAGTTAAATGACCAGAACGGCTTTTTTCTATCAGCACGAGTTTACATTAGGATGCAGTTGTGCTATGTAAACAAAAGAATCATATGATTCACAAGTTAATGGCTGTTCCATTTGCACGATCAGGCTTTCAACAAAGTCGCCCTCATTACAGATTCCATGGCAAGAAGGAAATGAGGTTCAAGTCACTGTAACTCGTTGAAATGCCAAATGAAAGAAGGCCTAGCAACGCTCGCGCTCACAGAAAAGCCTTTGGAATAGAGACAACTTGGCTAAAAACGAATATTCTCAGAATCTGATCCACCCTAACATTCTATAGATAAAGACCTTTTTAAAGGCACAGTTCACGATAATTTTGGGTAATCCAGATTATGATGAAAAATGGAAGACAAGATCGAAACTAGTGCGACTGAGGTGAAGAAACTGCGTGCATCGGTGTTTCCAAAGTGAAAAAAGGCTTCGAAAAACCGTAAAAAAGGGGGCTGGACGAGGATGAAATCAGAAAATGAAGAGTGGGGCGTCCGGACGAGCTAAACAGTGTGTTTCACTGCGCGCGTGTGGGTCCTGGTGCGAATAAGAGACAATGGTAAGCAAAAATTCATTCACTTGTAGGCACAAATAAACAAAAAAAGTCCTAGGAACAGCAAAGTAGCTCACCTTTTTCAGCCTCTAGGAGTAGGAAATTAAATAGGGGATCGCGGCAGCAAAAAGAAAAACAGAGGAAAAAAGAATGGGAGAAAAACATCGCCTCATCACTCGGCGATTAGCTGATTGTGCGTGGGTCCTAGAGCGAATAATAGCAATCTGTATTGTCTCGACACTCGTCTAACGTGACACTGATCGAGGGGCGGGAAAGCGAACTACGGCAGCAACGGGGCTTCCACTATGCCCTAAGCGCCGAGATTGTGGGAGCGGGAGGTTCCCTTCTACCACCCATGGGGGGGGGGGGGGGGGGCGCTGAGTATTCCTGAAGGAAGAACTCAGTAACCTTTTTTATCGTGAACCGTGCCTTTAAGTTCTACATCGTCATCATGATTTATACCTATATAAGAAATATTCCTTTTGAGTCGCGAACTGGGGTCGTAAGGTCCGAAATGGGAAGAGCAGTGGAATGAGTTTGGAGACGGGGACATATTGTTCGAAGAGGGGGACACAGGCCCGTAAGCGAGGATAGAAGGGTCCAAGCACTTCGGGCCTTTTGCCCTGTTCTCTTTGCTTGAGTCCCTTGTCCCTGTGTACCTTCTCAAGAAGAAAATGACCCATGGGCATCTTTCATAGTCCACGACCGGTCGCGCGACCAGTCGAGTGACCAGCCGAGCGACCAGTCGCTAGCGACCGGTCGTGGACTATGAAAGATGCCATACGTGGAACCACTGCTAGCACTTCACCGGATATGGTAACTTCTCCCCGAAAATCGCACCCGATCGCACGCGGTCGCGTGATTTGAAGGGAACGGTTTGAATCCTCCGTAGAAGGACACCGTAGTGCGCGGAACCCCTGCCGCTTGCCGTGGGAATTCGGGGAGAAGTACCGCCACCGCACTTTACCAAATATCGAGCTAACCTGGAAATTCTATCAAAATTTAATCAAAAATTGTTTGTGCACGGTATCTGAATGAGGTCAAAACCCCCGAGTCACCAAGAGCATTTGGCTTTTGCGATGCTTGAAAAAGTGGTAAATCGCTTTTCCTTCACGTTGGCGAGCTGCCGAAACTCATTTCTAAACCTTTTTAATTATAACAGATCGAGCCAGTCACCGATTCTGAACCTCTCATACTGGGAAATCGATTTTGTTGCGTGACTGGAACACGTACATCACATTGTTTCCTTCTGCTTCACTATTTCAATGGCGAGGAAACTTAGGACGAAAAATTCGTATGGTCTCAAAGCAGATTCAATTAATTCAACTAAGTGGAGCAATGAGCGATGCGTGAGTGATAAAGTAGTAAAGTGTTAGAAGAAACCAGTTCCAGACGCAATAGACGATCGCCACTGATAGAAAACCTGGGTCAACACCTGTTGCACAATGTCATTACTAACCTGTTTAAAACTTGTAAAACGATCGCAACCTCAAANAAACCAGGTCGTGAATCTTTCGAACTAGGCTCGCCTTTGCATACAAAGGGCAATCTGTGAATGTTTCTCCGCGGATCTTTCGTACTCAGGCACTAATCAGATCTTAAAGTACAGTATTCCATCCCGATTTAGTAACCCGAGTTGAAGATGGGATCCTCGATTGGACGCTCGGTTCATACACGACAACTTTAGCTATTCAGCAACATGGCTGCCTATCCGTTTTTGGTGTAACGTATACGTGACGGTTTTCGTCTGACCGTCTGATGCCTCTTCTATCTCACCGTTCGTCTTGCATGTCAAAAAATTGCCGGAATTCGCATTGAAGTGCATTGAGCAACACTACCTGAAGATTTCTTAAGTGATTTATAATCATGAAAGTTCTTCGGATCTCGTTAACCAATCGTAATTCAAGCAAAAATAAAAAATACAAAATATCAGTGGCCATTCTATTTTGACGAGTTCGCAATCATCAATCTCGAAACAAGTTCGAAGAAGTTCAGCGTTGCAACCTTGAAATGAGAGAATGAAGACAAAAAATACGTTTTAAGATCATACCGCCAATTCTTTTCTCTGAGGATAGCCTGGAGAAGCTGGAACTTACACCAGTTCATGCTCGACAATCGCTCATTCTTAACAATTTTAAAGTTGTTCGAATACACCCAGAACTTCCCCAGGCTGAGGACCCTCACTGAGCCGATATTNCGGGGTATTCATTTTCGAAGGACCTGAAATGGGCCGAAACGAATTGGACTCATCCGTCCGGATGTTGACAAATAGGTATTGTTCGAAATAGCGGACAAAATAGAATTTGCCGCTGACCAGACAGACCTCATTCCTATTTCTTTGGCCATTTCAGGCTCTGTCAAAAACAAAAAGTCGAAAAATCCCCTCAACAAGAGCCAATATCAGAAATTTTTAAGTTACATGTAAACAATACCAAAGCACTGACCTCCGCTAAACCTACTCGGTTCCATAGTAATGAGTTGCAGTAAGAGATACAGATGTACACCATAGAACTGATGACAAAGTGTATCCAATAAAACATTAGATAACAGCGTGTATAATACGTGCAAATAGGCACACAACAACAACAGCCGGGGTACACAAACCTACAGTGCTGCGAAACGGTGCACGTGATTTGCGCCAATGTCATTGCTTGACGCTTTTCATGTTGCTGACATTTCGATTTCGACAACTCAGTGCTTATTCACGTGTTCATTTCGTTATGTCCTTCCTATCTCTGCCTGTACATTATTTATTGGTTAAATGTAACTTTGTAATAGTTAATTTAGTTGGATATTCCACCATTACAGTGAATACCGAATGCTTATGGATGTCGAAAGTATTCTTGACGAACGAGTTGATCAATATGATCTAGAGGTATGGAAGTTTTAAGCTCCACCTCCATGCAGTGTTATTTCCCTGATTTTGATCTCTTTTCAGAGGTTTCGCGAAGCTTACGAAACCCAACGTAAGCGAGGTTCACCAAGTGCGATTGCAACGTTCAACTATGGGACTGCTCTAATACGATCCACAAAAGCCGATGTTGTTGAAGGGACAGAAATTCTTGAAAGTAAGTGAAAATTCATAGTTTACAAAAGAATCTGACTAGTTTGTAAGTTTCAGAACTCTTGCGAGAAGAGCCCGATGATGTGAACAAAAGAGATTACGTTTACTTTCTTGCCATCGCCAATGCTCGTTTACGCGTGAGTGTTACTTTTTCCAGCCACTTCAGCCTCATTCCAGGGAATGCAATTGGCATGTGTTAGAATGGAAAACACACGGTTATATATATNTATATATATCGTACAAGAAAATTATTATCGTATTCGGAATACGATTATTCAACCAGGAGAGGGATCAAGTTAGATTTTATACAAAAAATTCTTCCATGACACATGTTATTGATTGTAGCCGCTTCGCAGCCGCTCGCTTTCTTGGGGTCCTATTACCCGTAGAGGACAGCAGATAATTACGAATAGATTCTACGGTTTCAGAACTATGATCGAGCCCTTGCATATATTGACATTCTGCTTGCGGCTGAAACTCACAACAGGCAGGCTTCACAACTTCGTGAAATCATCGAAAAAAGAATGAGAAAAGGTAATTTTAATATGGTTGTACTATCTTTGAGGGTTTCCTTTTCCACCTCCTCGAAGTTTAGCAAGCTCAGAACTCCGAAAACCTTAAATAAGGTTTCGTGTCTCGTTTCATTCGATGAAGAACATTTCTATTACTTCATATTTAAAGTAGCGCCCGTTTACTTTACAGTTTTGACTAGGTATTTGAGCTTACCAATTTTTATTGCTTTGGCTGTCGGCAGGCGTTTTTTCTGCTAATACAGTTGAGTAAATAAGTATTAAATAAAAATCGATACCAGAACCAGTAGGAAGGGTTGTCGGCATAAAAATCTTGGTGTTATTGCATGAGTCATCGTTGACATTTCGACACCCCATATTTCAATTTTCCACGGAGTTATCACTAAGGAATTTTTAGATTCCACAAAAGTTCTGCAAAACAAGTTTGTTAACGCTCCGAGACCAGTACCACCAATATTGGTCACGTGATGCTCGACAAACTGCTCCGTTTTGGGCTACGCAACTAACCACCAGTAAGGAGTGCGCTAGGGATGTGTTTGAGCAGCCTCAGCTCACTCCTTATTGGCGGGATTGTCGCAGATAGATTAGAGGGATTTTAACGTCCCGTGAATGTGTGACACCGTAACCCCCTAGTACCCCACCGCCCACCTCGTGAGCTTCACCCGGAGTACCTTTCCCTTGCGTCGTATGTGTGACGGGTGTTTTGGAGGCGCTTCATCGTGTGTTTGGGTTGCTGTGTCACATTCACGGGACGATTAAATCCGTCTTGTTCGCATAGCCCAGTGAGGTGTCAATGAATGGCGAGCTATTGCTAGCTAAGCTCTGCAACCATTTTGCCTGTTCCTAGGGTATCGATGATCTCTAATGCAATTTTTGTCTCACATTGGTGTATCAGAGGCGTCTTATCGGATTACATTGCGTCGCCGCGATTTTCCATTGTTCTTTTTTTNTTTTTTTAGATGGTCTCTTCGGACTGGCCGTCATCGGTGGAGGGGCTGTGGTTGTGGCTGGAATCGTTGCTGCACTTTTTGCCTCGAAGAAGTGAAAAGAAATCGAAATCGGTGCGTGTTCATGTTCACGGGACCTTGTCATCTTGCTTTTGAAATTTGTACATAATTTTGTGAAGTCTTTGTGTGAAACAAATGTGAGTCTTGTCTACTGTAATTAATTACTGTAATTTATTTCATTGCTATTTTAGACAGATGTAGTAAAGGTGTTTCTGTTTTGTTTCTTTTCCAGTGTATCACCATATCAATCATGGCTGTTTGAAGTTGTTGCACTGTGGAAATAAATAAATACGGTCGTCATCAAATTCCTCTTGTGTGAGAGACATGGCCATTCCGGATGGGCGGCGGTATTTCTACCGGGATCCCACGGCGAACGACAATGGTCTACCAGCGGCAGCTACCGTAATCCTCGATTGGGGATTCAAGCTTCCCACTTCACACCGCGCGGTCGGACGCGCCGCGCGCGCAAAGCTGGAACCCTATCATTTCGGAAATCGGAATAGGGGTGGTGTAACGTTAGGCTGTTTTTCGAAGTATGTCAAAAATCAACGCTAGGTCATGAGGTACCGGGAAATCGCCCGGTGCGTTATAATTCATATCGACGTGGAGAAGAAACGTTTATTATAATCAACAAAACTATGCAGTGTGCAAGAACAATTATGCACATAAATTGAAATTGTTGCAAGTAAAACAGGAAGTAGGAGACAGTTTAGCTTATTGTTAAGTACACAAATAAATTTTTGACTAGATAGCCACTACTAGAGCACAAATGAAAATAATCTCATCGATAAACATAAATACTGATTATCGACACAACCTTAACAGATAATTTTACGCAGATCTTTCAGAGTTTGAGCGACTTTCGTACGCGGAAGATTTATCACGACCCATAATGCAGTAATATTAGTGAGAGGAGGAGAAGAGCAATATTCCACTACAACACACACATGCACCGTTAACGAACCGAATAGAAAGAAAAAAAAANAAAAAAAAACGACGGACGGAAATAGTGGAACTCGTAGAATGGAGTAGAGAGATAAACAAAAACAAAAACATAGCACTAGCATAGAAAGTAACTTTTTGAAAGTATATCCATGTGGACAAAGTGGTCTTTGGAAGGATCCAGATGTCGTTGAAAGGAAAACAATACAATCATCGAAGAGTATACGAGATTCAATCGATAATCTTGCCAGAGAGAGAAAGTATAGTAGCACTAATGGAGCATGTTTACTTGTTTACTTGCAGTAGTATGGCGGACTGCAGTATGGCGAACTGTTTATACAAATGGATTCCAATTTGGTGTACTGCTTTGACGTGCAATACCGCCCGCACCATGTACTGCATCGGCACCATAACGAGGCTGAAACTCAGTCATTCAGTTACATTTCACAGCACTATTCAGAAAAAGGGGGAAAACTGAATTTGAAATTAAATACCTGTGTGAAAGGCATCACAAATGGATTATTCCACGTTCCAGCAGCATGTGGATAAGATGACTCGCTATTGACCGGAATATGTTGAGGATTTACACCTCCGTATGGCTGTTGAATGAAAGGATTCGGAGCAAGGTTGGCTGGAAAAAGCCAACTTTAATTAGAAAAAGCTCATATTGATCTACCACAATGAATCAGAACCTTACAAAAGCTTAGAATATATTTCCGTAATGATCTATCACCAAACTGTTATGTCCTGGTACAGTTCCAAAGAATTGGGGTAATCTCTGCCGTGGTAAACCCCTGAAGTCAACTGCGAACAAGATAACCAACAGGCATGCCAACCAAACTAACGCTCTACAAAAAGCAGACCACTGCCGAGATTTCATGAATTGAGGGATTAGGATTCATCCCTAATTGAATTCCCAGTAAGTTGCACTGATTACTTTTATGAAGGAAAGGCATTTTTGGCATCAGATTTTCTCAAGGTTCCCTTAAGGCTACTTTCAGAGTTCGACGACCGTCCGTCCGTCCGTCCGTCCGT